AGGCAACAGGGTTCTCTCTATAACGGTGCCACGACCCCACGGCGTGCCACAAACATACCTGGGCAGATGGAGGGGGCAGTGGGGGGGCATGTGAGTGTATGAGGCAGTGTGGGGTGTGGAGCTGTGTATGTATGGGTGATGTGTTGACACAGGGAGGTATAGCATGTGATCAAATAGTAACTTTTTGTGTTTATATTTTTGTATGATAACCAACACCTGTTACTGAGGGTTTTATGTTTAATGCACACTTCTTATTCAGTTTGACTTTTCAGAGCTGTTGTTACAAAATGTCTCCAACCAAAAGGTATTGAAAGAAATTACAACTTTGTTCCTGCAGACCCATGTTTAAACTTTTTTTTTAATGAAGTTGTAAGGTCGTGGCTTTCTTAGTTTGACAAAGGCAATAGATCTTGCCAATGCCGTCAAAAAAACAGAATGATGAGTGTGTGACCTCTCCCCACTGCTGCATTCTATTAGCAGAGCTCAAACTGAAGGATTACTTGAACTTTTGTGAACAATAAAAATGACGTTAAACCAAAAGTCAGTATGTTTACGAGTGGAGACATTGGACTGCACGACCCAAACTTGTTTTGATTTATTAATAGTGCAAATAATACTGCTCTATATATAAAGTTATTATTATTATTATTATTATTATTTCTTACTTACTTACTGAGATACATTGAACAATATATACAGACGACTCCACGTCACAGTTGTGGCTTTTGGAGAGTCTATGAATGCAGAGGTCTAGATAGATACTTTATTGATCCCCATAGGATAAATTCAGGTGTCCAGTAGCAGCAGAAATAAAAATAAAATTGATCATTCTAAAAACATAATAATAGTAATAATCAGCAACAGCCCTTTAGGTCACAGCAGCGGAGGTGGAGTAGCCTCTGGGTGGAGCAGGACGGGTCAAGAGGTGGAGTACCCGCTTGATTCGGACCATTTTGTCTGCTCTAGTCCAAAGCTGCTTCATTAGCATTTTTCAAAAAGTTAGCATTTCTCCAGTCGATTTTCACCTGATCCACTTGGTTCGGACCATGAATCCTCTCAGCTACAGTCTGGACCAGTGAGAACATGTACAGGAGCTTCCCTCTCGCTCTGGGCCAGGTCTCCTCTGAAAAAGATATTCTGAAATCTCAGTGGGACTCAATGAATGAAGATCAATAAAAGAAATAGAAAATTGACATGTAAAGACCATTCTAAGTTGTTCTAGGTTGTTGATTGTGGCCTTTGGAATGTTGGCCCACTTCTCCACATGTGTAAAATTGCCCGTCACCCATATGAACCCACGGTTTGGGATGCTCTATGCTGTATCCAACAGTGTGTTCTAGTTCCTGCAGATATCCAGCAACATGTCATGGCTGTCATTTTTAGTTCCTGTTTTATTTTGTAATTCTCGGTTCTCCTGTGTCTTTTTGAGTTAAACTTCTTGTTCTGTTGATCGCCTGCCCCGCCCTGATGTGTGTCCCAGTTCAATCCCCTGTGCTCTTTCCTTTTTGTCGTCAGCCCATTAATTTTAGTCCTGTTGTTCTTGTCTTTGTCTTCAGTTCCAGCGTTTTTACATTCAGTTAAGTTTTGTTTTTTGGATTCTTAATTTTGCAGTATTGCATTTTGGGTCCTTCCTCTTTCCCACCACGTAACACAGCATTGCAGTTATTGAACAGAAGTGAATCAACATTCCTCAAGCCAACTAGCAACTAACAACTCACAAAACGCACTGTAAGAGGCAGATTGGCTCTTCAACTCACCCCGCAGACAGAAAGCAAAAAGCAAAGAAAAATATCTTCCACTGACCACAATAAAAGGCCCCTCTAAGGAACAGCTGTGCAGTTTTCATTCCATCTTAATCTGCCTCTCCTGTGGGGCGGGATGGATTGTCTCAGCAAAAATAGACTGTCAAAACAACAAAAAAGTTCTCACTGAAACACTTTTAGGCACATTGTGTACAATATCTGACAGGACATGGATCTGTAGAGCATATATACAGAGTTGTACAGCTTTAAATTGAAGCCTCATGAACAATGGGAGAAAAAAGTGCTGTGTTTATATTTTTGTTCGAAAGATATTGTTGGAAAAGAACCAAAACACAAAAGCAGACTTCTGCCAAGCGGCACGGTTCCATTCTTTTAGCCGCAGATCCTCCAGGTCAGGCCTCTGGGACCAATGGAGCGAGTAATGAGTAATGAACAGCTCCATGCACTCTCCTGCTTATTGTTTTGCTTATATGTAAGGTGTGCAGATGGTTTTTAAAATGTGGTGAAAATATCAGCAATATCCACACAGAGGTTTCCTGAAAAGGCCAGGAGTGCATGGCAGAGGTGAAAGTGTGTGAAGAGGAATAGCAGTGGAAGGAAAAATGAATACGCTGTTGCCCAGAGTCAGGACGAAACATGGAGAGGCTGCATTTCAGATGTATGCAGCTAGGATATGGAACAGTCTTCCTGAGGTTATGAGACAAGCCTCTACCTCTGACCATGTTCAAAACTAGGCTGAAAACATACAACTGATACAACTTTGTACTATGTAATGCTTGTATCTCCCTTTTTAAACCCCATGCTTTTATGCACTGTTTTTATATGAAATAATTATACTGCATTTTGATCTGTGACGCAGATCAAATTGACTGATTGATTGATGGACATACATGTTATTACTACTTTCCAGTTGCACATCTTGAAACCGTGACTTACCTGTTTTCATGTAACAATCTATTCAAATTCAGCGTGTTTATTTATGCGTCTCTGTGATTGGCTGAAAATGAGGCTATGATAATATTGTTGTGTATAAAGAGAGCATGTCACAGATGCTGCATCAGATGTGCGCTCAGCCTTTGCAACAGATGGCTGTGTTTTGAACCTTACAGCCTGCCGTACTTGACCACACTAAAAACAGCCTTTATGCAGATGTTGACATGAGCCCGAGGACTGCACTGCTTCTCCAAGGACAGACGAGATGGATGCTGCCGACTACAGAGACAGCACCTGAGTCTGCCCATCATCAGGGCTGGACCCAATAGGCCTCGACATCATGTGAGCGTTTAAATGAGGGAAATCATGATAATAATAATAATAATAATAATAATGCATCAGCTTGATATAGTGCTTTTTGGATACTCAAAGATGCTTCACATGTCATTATTCAATCACTCCATACACGGTGGTGATAATTGTAGCCACAGCTGCCTGGAGGCATACTGACAGAAGCAAGGCAACCAGTATCACCCCCTCCAATCACCACCAACCATTCACACACACACACTCAGACTCATTCTAGGCAATGTGGGTGAAGTGTCTTGCAAGAATAGGCTTCATCCACCCCTTTTCAAACCGTGTACACACTTGTATATCTGTCTATTTGTACTGTGGAATTGTAGTTGTTTGTGAAGGTTTGACTTGACTTGAACATGTTTGTTTTTTTGGCAAAGCAAGTTGGTTTGAATATCCTCTTCCACATTGCCAAACTCTTCAAGGTGTTTAGAAAGATTCCAGTCATTGTTCTCAGCACCAATCACATCCCTTGTTAACGCCATTTATTTGTGATTGCTGCAAAAATGGAAGAGCAGAAAAAGCTCCAGGTAGAGATACATCCTAATATACATGTACATATAGAGGTAGGTATAAACAGTACAGACCAAAGGTTTAGACACACTTTCTCATTCAAGGAGTTTTCTTTCTTTTCATGACTATTGAGTATTACCCAGGCTGTGTAAGGGCTATTTGACCAAGTAGGACATTGATGGGTGCTGGTCCAGATGACCTGGCCTCCACAGTCAACGGACCTGAACCCAATCCAGATGGTTTTGGGGTGAGCTGGACCACAGAGTGAAGGCGAAAGGGCCAACAAGTGCTAAGCATCATGGGAACTCCTTCAAGACTGTTGAAAGACCATTTCATGTCCTCTTGAAGCACATCAAGAGAATTCCAAGAGTGTGCGAAGCAGTAATTAACAAAAAATGTGCTACTTTGAAGAACCTAGATTATAAGACATATTTTCGGTATTTTTTTGGTACGTAAGTATTTCCACATGAGTTAACTCATAGTTTTGATGCCTTCAGTGTGAATCTACAATTTTCATAATCATGAAAATTAAAAACTCTTTGAATGAGAAGGTGTGACCACAGCTTGGTCTGTACTGTATGTGGGGGGCAGAGCGTTCCAAAGCCAAGGACCAGCCACAGAGAAGGCCCTATTTTGATCTGTCTTAAGGGGGTCTAAGTCCGGTCTTGGATATACCACGACCTGGATTTTGTTTTGTTTGGAATATAAGTTTTTGAGTACAACCTACTGAGGAAATGTCTCTGTGACAATGATTGTGAATATACTTACAAAATACAAGTGTATAGTGTTTAATTTTGCTTGGTTGTTGAAATTACCATATGCTTGGTGTTTTAAAATGTGATTAATTTGTAAGGGGTTTGGCTTAAGTTGTGTTTCACTTCAGCCACAAACCTTTCAGTCATTTGTTTATGCTTTGTTTATACTTTGTTGACTATTGTAGAAGGAATGATGAGGCTGAAAAAAATAAATTAACTAACTTTATTACATATACCCATTTTCGCATGGTTTAAAAGTTAGGAATACCCTTGCTTGATCTCAGAATCCTGTGATGTGATTGGCCCTGCAGCTGAATGGTCTGCTACACAATCACACATCAGCAGCCCCAGTCCATCTGCGAGCCTCATCCTAACCCCGCTCCCATGCAGACAAGCGCTTTAGTGCCCAGCAATGCTCCCATGTGGCTCAGCACTCTGTTGATTTACCCAGAGCTGTTGAGACAAAATGCCCATCACCACTAAATGCCTTGTCCCTATGATAAAATCTCCAATCAAGGGCCCTTCACAAATGCACGGCGAGCGGCACAGCAGTTTTTGTTGCTCGTAAAGCGCAGGTGCGACCGGCGCGGGGAACGTAATCAGAGCGCGCGCAGTTGCGTCTGAAGTAGACTAATCACAAGAAGATGGGGCTTGAACAGCGGGCGTAGATCAGCAGTGATTATCTATCTCTTTTCTCTCGCTCTGATTCGTGTGTAGTGGGAACGGAGAACAAAGCTAATGGGCTGAAGCTGCTCTGCTCGGCATGAGGCTCAGGTTTGAGGGCTTGGTGGATGCCGCTTGGTAGGTGTATGTCCTGGTAGGTGGTATCTATATCCTGGTAGGTGGTATCTATGTCCTGGTAGGTGGTATCTATGTGCTGGTAGGTGGTATCTATGTGCTGGTAGGTGGTATCTATGTCCTGGTAGGTGGTTTGTATGTCCTGGTAGGTGGTATCTATATCCTGGTAGGTGGTATCCATGTCCTGGTAGGTGGTATATATGTCCTGGTAGGTGGTATCTATGTCCTGGTAGGTAGTATCTATGTCCTGGTAGGTGGTATCTATGTCCTGGTAGGTGGTATCTACAGTGCCTTGCGAAAGTATTCGGCTCCTTTGAACCTTTCAACATTTTGCCACATTTCAGGCTTCAAACATAAAGATATAAAATTTTAATTTTTGGTCATGAATCAACAACAAGTGGGACACAATCGTGAAGTGGAACGAAATTTATTGGATGATTTAAACTTTTTTAACAAATAAAAAACTGAAAAGTGGGGCGTGCAATATTATTCGGCCCCTTTACTTTCAGTGCAGCAAACTCAGTCCAGAAGTTCAGTGAGGATCTTTGAATGATCCAATGTTGTCCTAAATGACTGATGATGATAAATAGAATGCACCTGTGTGTAATCAAGTCTCCGTATAAATGCACCTGCTCTTTGATAGTCTCAGGGTTCTGTTTAAAGCGCAGAGAGAACCATGAAGACAAAGGAACACACCAGGCAGGTCCGAGATACTGTTGTGGAGAAGTTTAAAGCCGGATTTGGATACAAAAAGATTTCCCAAGCTTTAAACATCTCAAGGAGCACTGTGCAAGCAATTATATTGAAATGGAAGGAGTATCAGACCACTGCAAATCTACCAAGACCCGGCCGTCCCTCCAAACTTTCATCTCAAACAAGGAGAAGACTGATCAGAGATGCAGCCAAGAGGCCCATGATCACTCTGGATGAACTGCAGATAACTACGTCCTGGTGGGTGGTATCTATGTCCTGGTATGTGGTATCTATGTCCTGGTAGGTGGTATCTATGTCCTGGTAGGTGGTATCTATGTGCTGGCCGATGGTAGCTATGTGCTGGTAGGTGGTATCTATGAAGGCGTTTTCCCGTGGCCCTGACATTCATATATTAATAGAGCTGGCCTTTATGGAAGGGGCAACTGCACTGGAACACCCCGCCAGAGACAGACATTATGTGAGTTCTGGCAGCAGCGATGTGTTTTACAGCGCTTGTGACAACTGAAGAAAGTGACAAAAGTCTGGGATCGTGTCTTTAATTCCGACTGAAGACATGTTTTATTGTCGATGGTAGACAGCATGAACAAATATGTTACAGAATGCAAGTGATATTATACTGCATGGAGGAATTATTATTGTTTAACTCAGAAACTCTCAAGCAACCAGTGTTGTCAACTTAGCGACTTTGTCGCTAGATTTAGCGACTTTTCAGACCCCTATAGCGACTTTTTTTCAAAAAAGCGACTAGCGACAAATCTAGCGACTTTTTCTGGTGTTATTGGAGACTTATCTGGTGTTTTGGAGACTCTGGCGTGAAGCACGTATTGTTCTGCAGTTACTGTCCTCAACATGAGCCCCTCCCCCGTCCCAAAGCACTTACAGGCGGCCAGTCTCACAGTAGCCTCGCGCAGCAGTCAGTTAATGTTGTCAAGTTAAAACCGTCTATACAAAAAAATGTTAAACATGTTATTGTTGTTGCAAATTATGTTCATGGTTTACTGTGACTTGTTTTGTCACCAATAAACGGCTTCAACCAGCCTTTAAAGTATTAAGTTATAAACGAAAACCAAACAAACCACCCCTCAAAAAAAAAAAAAAAAACTATGAAAAAAAAATAACTTTAAAATAAAAAAACTAAAAAAAAAAAAGTAAGTAACTCTGCCAGAGTGTGTCTTTTGGGTCACTTTGCCGGTCCCAAGCCCGGATAAAGGAGGAGGGTTGGTTGTAGAGCTAGCATTTCACCCTACATAACAATCTTTTGATTAAATTTGCTGTTATAACATTTAACAATACAGGACAAAACTGATGTGTGTAATGTGGATCTAGACAAAGCATTAATGTTGAAATAATTTTTTTACATTTGTAGTTCTAAACATATTTAGGGTGTTTTTTTACTCACTTTTGTCTCCCCCCCACGACGTTATTCCTCTCTCTTACAGCGTCCGTTACAGTTATTTGCAAATTGCCAATTATGCAAATTAGGCGATGACGTCATTTAGCGACTTCTAGCGACTTTAGCTACTTTCCTTACTGAGGAGTTGGCAACGCTGCAAGCAACTATGTGGTTTCCCCTACCTCTAAAAACATGTGCCTCCTGTGTGGGGGCCCCGCTCCCATCTCTGTGTGGAGAGAGAGAGGACAGCAATCGTAATTAATTGTGATTCTGGTTTTTGAAAGGCGCTATATAAATAAATATTACTTACTTACATACTTAATCCAAACCAGTCATGAAACAATCTGTTGAAATCCAATGTTTAATATGTGCTCTTGGGATCTGCTTTGGCATTTTTCGGCAGCTTGAGTAAGAAAGAACTTCTTTCATATGATTATTATTATCTTTAGAATTTCTGGGAAATTCTAAAGATAAGTAAGTAAGAAGCACAGCGGAGTGATATTGTGTGGGACTTTTATTGGCTTTGAATGTGTGCTCAGAACACTTCTGTGTTCATGACTGAAGACATTCATTCAGAAATGTAGACATGATAAAGAATCTCTCATGACCAGTGATGTAGCTAAACTAAGCCCTCGTGATCCAAGATGGCGTCCTTTTCAAATCACTGGCTTGTGCTCAGTGGATGAGCTCCCATGATTCTTTGCGCCAAATACATGTGTGTGCCTAAGCCCCGGCGATTCATGATGGCGCCATATTCAAATGAATGGTTTGTGCTCAGTGGCGCTTTGTGCTGGCTTGGGCGCTAACATATTAGCGGAACTCGCCTGGAACTCGCCCATGATGCTTGCGCAAAATATGTGTGTGTGGCTGTCATGCACGTGCACAGAGGGGCTCAGCCGCGCTCTGACCAATCAGAGCTGCTCATCAGAGTGGGAGTTAGAGCGGGAGCCAGAAGGGCAGAGTTTGTGGCACTAAAGTGATGAAAACAGAAGGATTTAAGAAGAAAAAAAGGATAACAAGGGACACTAAAATCCCCACAAAATCCGATCTTTATGAAAGCTGTAGATGCTCTGTCAGCTGAGGTCGAGCTGTTTTAGTTTACATTGAGTTCTATGGGGGGAGGGCTTGGCTTCCGGTTAGTCATGGAGTAGGACGCACTCCACGCAGCTCCGAAAATTTCGACTTTTAAACTTCTTTACAAACACGACCAGGAAAGCCCTTTCTTTTTTGACACACTGGATCTACCTTGTATGAGAACAGGTGCTTGATTATCTGCAAGGATGCCAAGAAAAAACACACCAAAGTCAGACGCGGCCGAGGCGGAGGAAGGCGCCCCCGAAGCTACAGATAGCAGCAATAATGCTAACGACACGAGCTCGCATATAGAACCTGTGCTGGGGGCAATAGCTTCACTGCGAGCGGACCTAGAAGGCTTTAAGGCCGCTATATGTCAGACAATCGAAGCCAAGACAGCAGCCGCCACTGCGGAGCTGAGAAGGGATCTGGCTGACCTAAAGACTGAGAATGATGCGGCATTGGCCTCGCTGAGGACGAAGATGGAGGTGAATGCTCAGTCGATTAAGGAGCTAGCGGATGCTACTAGCACCTCTTCAGATACCGTGCGAGGGCTAGAGAGAGTCGTAGAGACCCTACAAGAGCAAGTTTCGACGCTAACCGAAAAGTGTATAGATCTTGAAGGTCGGTCAAAGAGGCAGAACCTAAGAGTGGCGGGTCTGAGGGAAGGCAAAGAAGACGGACGGGACGGACGGGAGCTAGCTGCGTTGCTGCTAAAGGAGGCCCTAGACCTGGATGAGCTCCCGCTAATCGACCGCGCTCACAGGGCTCTGAGGAGAAGGCAAGGGGATGACGAACCACCTAGACATTTCATTATACGGGTGCACTACTCCCACACGTTTGAGAAAATCATGAAGAAAGTTATTAGCACCAGAGAGATCTCTTTTCAGGGACAGAAGATCCATATATTTCGAGACTTGCCCCAGGAGGTGGCTAAGCGACGGGTAGCGTTCACTACGGTGAGAAAGTTGCTTCGTGACAAACCGGGTGTTCGATATGGTCTTCTCTACCCTGCCAAGTTACGCTTGTCGCATGATGGGACTGAGAAGTTCTTTACTGATCCTGATGAAGCCAGAAGGTATGTTGTCCGCTATCTTGAGGAGGCTGGTAGCGGAAGAATGTAGGATACCGCACGCGTCGCAACTGAGACAATGTCAAACAAGACTAACCAAATGCGTATTTGCGCTGGCTATATTCAATTGTAAATATGAGTGATTTATATAATACATTTAAGGTATATGTTTGTATTCTGTGGCTGATTATCGTTAGTGACTACATTTTGATTGGCATTTCCTGGTCAGTTTATAATTAACTATGTTATGTTCTACTCAGTTACAACAAGGAGCAAGCGTAGCTGAGTCAAGTTTAGTGGATAGTTAGGAGAAGTATGGTTCGTGGGGATGACGTTCACTACTGGGACCATCTAGGTGTTACATGTTATTCTTTGTTGTTTGTTATGGTTTTTTTTTTTGTTATGGCGTTTTTCTTTTTCGTTTGGGGTGGGTGCTGCCGGTGTATTAACCAATAGTCAAATAGGACAGTATGTCTGTAATTGGAGGGGGGATTAGTGCTGAAGAGGATAGAAGGGGGACAGTAACGTTTTGTTCCTGGAATGTTAACGGTATAAATGAGCCAATAAAACGGGGTAAAGTTCTGTCACACCTAAAGACTCTACAAACTGATGTAATCTTCTTACAGGAGACTCATTTGAAAAATGATGCGCATTGTAAGATTAGAGCTAAATGGATAGGACATGTCTATCATTCAAAGTTTTCGGTTAAGGCAAGGGGCACGGCAATAATTATTCACAAAAAATTGAATTTTTTGCATAAATCTACAGTAGCTGACAAAGAAGGGAGATTTGTCATGGTCAATGGAGAAATCCAATCCGTTCCAGTTACGTTACTAAACATATATGGGCCAAATATAGATGATGCCGATTTCTTTAAGAAAATATTTAGTATGATTCCAGAAATGTCTACCACTAATTTAATACTTGGGGGTGATTTTAATGTAGTTCTAGACGCTTATTTAGATAGGTCATCAACACAAAAACCTGTATCTTCGAATGCCTCATCATTTCTTAAGTCCTTTATCAATAACTCTGGTCTTGTGGATGTTTGGAGAGTGCTAAATCCAACTGGAAGGGAATACTCATTTCATTCAGGAGTCCATAACACATACTCGCGAATCGATTTCTTTTTGCTTGATGGTAAACTGTTGCAAGGAGTACAAAACTCGAAATATCACAGCATTATTATATCTGATCATAGCCCTGTGTCCCTCTCAATAAAGATCCTGGAGTCAGGACCTACTTACAGAACCTGGAAACTGGACCCACAGCTTCTCACCAAAAGCAAATTCTGTAATTACGTTAAGGATCATATCAAATTGTTTTTTGAGACGAATGACAAAGACGGTATATCCCCTCTCCTTTTATGGGAAACCTTTAAAGCTTATATAAGAGGATGCATCATTTCGTTTCAATCCTCAGAGAAAAGACAAAATAGACTAAGACAATTGGAGTTGGAAGAGGAGATACAAAAGTTAGATTCTGAGAATGCAAGACAGCCATCTGTACAACTACATAGTAAAATTTCAGCATTAAAATATAAACTTAATACACTTCTATCTGAAAAGCTATCTAGAGCCTTTATGTATGTTAAACAAACATATTTTGAATTTGGGGACAAACCCCATAAATTACTAGCCAGGCAGTTAAGAAAAAGAGAAAGCGACAGGTCGATTCACACAATCAAGTCAAACTCAGGATTGCTAACAAGTTCCCATAAAGAAATCAACGATGCTTTTAGACAATTTTATGAGGAGCTGTATACCTCTCATTGTACTGCCTCTGGTGACACTCTACAGACATTTTTAGATCAGTGTAAATTACCAACTCTCTCAGAGAAAGACGCTGCATCACTAGATGCAGAGCTTACAAATCTAGAGCTGCTTAATACTATTGGTTCATTGAAGAAGGGAAAGAGTCCAGGGCCGGATGGGTTGTGCAATGAGTTTTATAAAGTTTTTGGCAACTTATTAACCCCCTTTTTATTGAAAATGTACAATAGATCCTTAGAGGAAGGTTCTTTACCAGAAACTTTGAATGAAGCTACTGTAACCCTTATTTCAAAAAAAGGGAAAGACTTGGAACAGCTTGGCTCTTATAGACCCATCTCTCTATTAAATTCTGATCAGAAAATTCTTGCCAAGTCCTTAGCCAACAGACTTTGTGCTCATATAATTAAACTAGTACACCCAGACCAAACTGGCTTTATACCAACCAGACAATCATCTCACAATTTCAGACGTCTTTACAATGTAATGTACTCAAAAAAAGAGGCGGAAGAAGACCTTTTCTTAGTCAGTCTAGACGCAGAGAAGGCTTTTGACTGTGTTGAATGGTCTTATCTATTTGCAGTGTTAGGGAAATTTGGAATCGGTGCAAAATTTACTCAATGGATACAGCTATTATACTCTAATCCTTCGGCCAGGATTCTCACAAACAGGACTCTCTCACAACCTTTCAAACTCTCTCGCGGTACCAGACAGGGCTGCGCACTGAGTCCACTCCTGTTTGCACTTGCCATTGAGCCACTAGCTGAAACAATAAGAGGTAATACAAGTATACATGGTTACAACACTAAATATAGCTATAATAAGATCTCCTTGTATGCGGACGACGTGTTGCTGTTTATAACCAAACCGCAGCAATCTATCCCCAAATTATTAGAAACTATAGATCTTTTTAGCTCCTTTTCAGGATATAGAATAAACTGGAGCAAAAGCGAATTGATGCCTGTTAAATGTGGTGATCTTGATTCACTTAAACAGATGCCTTTCAAAATTGCTTTTGAAAAAATTACATACCTGGGAATAGTGGTCACTAAAATCTATAAATCTTTATACGATGCTAATTTTATCAAGATCTTAGAAGCCTTCCGCAATAAGATTGAATTCTGGAGGTCACTTCCGCTCTCTCTAATTGGTCGAGTAAATGCAATTAAAATGGTTTGTCTCCCCCAACTTCTATACTTGTTTCAAAATGTACCTATATATCTCACGGCCTCCTTTTTTCGAAAATTGGATTCAGTTTTCCTGCCATTTATCTGGGCTTTTAAGAACCATAGAATTAAAAAGAATCACATTTGTAAGCAGAAAATTGAAGGTGGCTTAGCCTTGCCAGATTTTAAATTATACTACTTTTCAATTTATATACAGCATGTCGCATACTGGCTGGACAACGCTGCCATTATAGGGAGTTGGCTTGATATAGAACGTGAAGAATGTCTGCCTTACGCCATTGGTGCAATAGCATTGTCCCCCATTCGTCTCAAAGAATCATATTACAACTTCAACCCAATCATCCACAACACCATCCGGATTTGGAGGCGGATAAAAAAGGAATTTGAACTTGGGGCCTTGTCCTTTGTCTCTCCCATTGCATCAAATCCATCGTTCCCACCCTCAGTTATGGATGGGGCATTTGATCGTTGGAAGGAAATGGGTTTACAAAATGTTGGTGACCTGTATTATCACGGTTGTTTTGCTTCATTTCAACAGCTTCAAGTTAAATACAAATTAATTGCTAGTGATTTTTTCAGATTCCTGCAAATAAGAAACTATGTGAGATCCCATGTTCCTTCCTTTGAACAAATGGCCCCAGATAAATTAGATGAGTGCTTGGCCACTTGTAATACAGAAAGTCATGTGATTTCATTTATATACAACATTCTGCAGGCACTCAAACGGGTAGATATGACAAATATTAAAACGGCATGGGAAAAGGAACTCGGAACTGTAATACACGAAGACATTTGGACTAAAGGGTTGAAATATGTTCATTTGTGTTCCATAAATACACGACACTCTTTAATTCAGTTTAAAGTACTGCATAGACTGCACTATTCAAAGGCAAGGTTACACAAATTTTTTCCGGATGTTTCACCTATTTGTGATAAGTGTGAGGTTGAGGAGGCAAACTTGTTGCATAGTTTTGTAATGTGTCCAAAGTTACAGAACTTTTGGTTGTCTTTATTTTCCTTTTTCTCAAAGGTTTTAAATGTACAATTAAAAGTGGATCCTATTTTGATCATTATGGGAGTTTCGGAACAGAGCAGCATACTGAAAACATGTCAAGCCCAACTTCTCTCGTATGGAGTTATGTGCGCCAAGAGACTTATCCTACTTTTGTGGAAGGGGAAAGACGTCCCTTCAGTTTCAGCATGGATATCCTCATTGACAGAGACTCTTCATCTCGAAAGGATTCGTCATATGCAAAATAACAAACTGCACGATTTTGAAAGGATTTGGAAACCATTTTGGTCATATTTGCAAAGAATGGACTGATTCACCTGAAAGTAATGTAGCACCCGGGAGGGAGGGAGGGGAGGGAGGTGTGGGTATTAGTGTTATTATTTGTGTGTGTGTAAAAAAAAAAAAAAAAAAGAGCTTATCTGTATCTTGTTCATGCCATGTTCTGAACTGCTGAATAAACATATTTGAAACGAGTTCTATGGGGGAAATTTCTGGGTAGCCCATGTGAATTTAGTCTGGTTTAGTCTGCAGTACCGCGAAAATCCCCCGAGCACGTGGGTTCTTCAGCTCCAAGCTAGTAATACCCTATCCAGCTATTATAATATACCCAAGTGTGTGCCTTTCATGCACGTGCACAGAGGTGCACGGTCGCGCTCTGACCAATCAGAGAGCTGGTGATTAGAGCGAAGCTAGAGCGGGAGACAATCAAGCAGAGTTTGTGGCACTAAAGTTTGGATTTATAGAAAACCGATGGATTTAAGAATAAAAAGAGTTCAGGATGACAAGGGACAGTAAAAGTACCACAAAATGCGACCTTTATGAAAGATGTAGGTTCTCTGTCAGCTGAGGTCGAGCTGTTTGAGTTTACATTGAGTTCTACGGGGAACATGTGTTCAGTCTTGTTTGGTCTGCAGTACCTCGAGAATGAAAATATATCATTGGTCTGAGCTCTAGTGTTGTTTTGTTGGAGGTTTTTGTTCGTCCGTCCGTGGGAGTGGATCTCTCTCTCAATGTGGACCTTCCCAAGGTTACCTATAAGGACTGTGGTGATGATCCAGGACATTTCACATTTATGGAAATTTAT